TCTGCATTTGAGATCGGACCCTTTGTTTACATGTGAGTGGGCCCAAGGTGAGGTCCCTGTGGCCGTTCAGTGTGGAATGAGGAGTGTTGTTTTTTCCCTCCCCCCACCTGTGGGTTATTTTTTTTGGCCTGAGTGGAGGTGGGGAGGAGGGTGTCAACTTCTGCTCAGCCCAATAATCAGCATTGCCACTTGGATTGGACAGGATTCCAGCCTTGGGCAGACAGCCGACAGTAGCAGTGCTGCTGTGAGTGGACTTTGGTTTGGGCTGTGCTCGGTCCTTGCTGTGCCTGGGAACCACCGTGCTGAGAGAGCACTGAGGTCGTTTCCCTGGAAGTCCTTGAGCTGATAAGTGCAGCCAAGCTGCTTGTGGGGGATGCACACAGGGCTGAGCTTCAGTGTTGAACTTCAGCCAGTCTACTCCTGGGGACTTGCCGAGCACTGTTTAGTGTCTGAAGCCAGCACTGCCCCACTTGAGGAAACGCCTCTTACAAGAAATTCAGCAGGGGCCCAGTGCGGTAATCTAGTGCCTAAAGTCCTCTCCTTCACGCACTGGGATCCCATATGGGCACTGGTTCTAATCCCGGCAGCCCCACTTCCCATCCAGCTCCCTGCTTGTGGCCTGGGAAAGCAGTTGAGGACGGCCCAAAGCCTTGGAACCCTGTACCCGCGTGGGAGATCCGGAAGAGGCTCCAGGCTCCTGGCTTTGGATTGGTGTAGCTCTGGCCGTTGTGGCCACTTGGGAGTGAATCAACGGATGGAACATCTTCCTCTCTGTCTCTTCTCCTCTTTGTATATCTGACTTTCCAATAAAAAGAAATCTTAAAAAAAAATCGAAGAAGTTCAGCAGGCGCCCCTGGTTTTCCTGGCGCCTTCCTGTGCAGCGTTGCACCCTCTAGATATGCTGTGCATCATAGGGAGTTCCTGCAGGCCCTTGCTCATGGTTCTGGCTGGGCTGGGGGTTGGGGTAGAGTTCCTGGGTGCTCAGAGCCCTATGCTAATCTCATGCCTTTTCTTTTTAATAGAAAAGAGGATTGCCTCCAGCTCTGCATTCGGGTTAGAGGATTGGGGACTATGTTTCTTGATGTGTTTTATGTACCGGGGTCTTTCTTACTCATGGAAAATGAAATTATATGATGGGTTTAATTGTGTAGCAAAAGAAGTGCAAGCCATTGCAGTTTTTCTACACTATACAATTTTCATGAACTTTTTAGAAAACCTCTCGTATGCACCGATCTAAAAAAAAAAATCTTTTGCAGCCAAATAAATTTCTCTTGAATTCTGTTTTCCATAAGTCTTTTGATGTGCTGTGGGGTAATACCTTGTGGGCCGAGAGCCTAGGCTATGCGCTTCACTTGGCACCTACCCACTTTGCTTGCTGCCCTGACCCCTGCCAGCTAAGAGAGCAAGGGCCTGTGAAGGTGGGGCGTCCACTGGCCTGCCTTAGCCTCACCCAGCCCCTCCGTGACCGAGAGGTGGCCAGTGGGCTCCCACGGTGGCAGCAGCACGTGCTGTTTGCTGGGTGCTGTGGAGTTTTGTTCTTGCAAGGGCAGCACTGTAGGTAAAAAGAGAACGAAAGGCGCTTTGGTTCAGTAGGTTAAGCCGCGACCTGTCGTATCGGCCTCCCATAGGCCACTAGTCCAAGTCCCAGGTGCTCCACTTCAAGTCCAGCTCCCTGGTAATGCACCTGGGAGAGGGGCAGAAGGGTGCCTTGGGTCCTTGCCAACTGTGTGGACGACCTGAATAAAGCTGCTGGCTTCGACCTGGCCTGACCCTGGCCATTATAGCAATTCCAGCTGTGAATCAGCAGACGAACTCTCATTGTCTAGAACTCTACCTTTCAAATACATATGTCTGTGTTTTAAGTTCCTACACCTGGCTTTAATGTCAGTCAAGGGGAGAACTTGTGTTCTGTGGGTGAAGACACCTGCCTCCAACGTTGGTGTGTTTGGGTCTGATTTCTGCCCCCAGCTCTGGACTCTAGCTTCCTGCTGTGCAGAACTGGGGAGGCGCTGCTGAAGGCTGGGGTAACTGGGTTCTTGCTGTCCCCGTGGGAGATCTGGGCTGTGTCCTGGGCTTCTTGCTTTGACCTCCAGCCTGCCCTTTCTGTTCTAGGCATTTGTGGAGTAACCCAGTGGCTAGGTCTGCCACTTTGAAATGAGTGCATCTGTTAATTAAAGAAAAACAATAGGACCCACTCAGAGGACATTGTGCCCGCATTCTGCTGGGGGCAGCGATGGGTGGCCTTGTGGAGATTGCTGTGGCAGCAGCTAAATGGCTGTCCCTTTGACTGATGTTCTTCCTCTGTTGTTGGCAGGGAGAAAAGAGGGGGTCCCTGAGCTTCCATCATCTGGACAGGCCAGCCAACTTGGAGGTCGCGGGAGCGTAGTGCTGTACCCACAAGGTGTGCAGTGTGGGGCTGTTGTTGGGACCCCAAGTGGCTACGCTCCAGTTAAGTGCCTTAGTTACGAATGACACCACCACAGGGCATCTGGTCCACACTGAGGTTTGGAGAAAGTAGCCTGGGCATTGTGCCAGTACTGCGGGGATTTGGGATGGGCTGGGCCAGCTTGCCTAGGGGTCACTCCACGCCTGTGCCTGTACCTGGCCACAGCTAAGGGGAACAACAGGACAGAGCCTGCTTCTGCAACTAGGAGAAAATCTGCCTGAACTTTGTGGTATGACTCCAGGTCAACAAATGAAAATCCCAGTGTTCCAGTGAGCTCAGAAAGTACCTTGGGATTTATGGTGGTGAAACGTCCGTCCGCTGATTCTCTCCCCAAGTGACTGCATGGCCAGAGCTGAGCTGATCTCAAACCAAGAGACAGGAGCTTCCTTTGGGTCTCCCACATGGGCACAGAGTCCCAAGGCTTTGAGCCATTCTTGGCTGCTTTCCCAGGTCATAAGCTGGGAGTTGGAAGGGAAGCGGGGCTTCCAGGACACGAACTGGCACCCATATGAGACTCTTGTGCATGCAAGGCAAAGATTTAAGCCACTAAGGCTAACCACATTGGGCCCAAAGTCTGGTGTTTTTAGGAGTTGAAATTCAAATGAACAAAGAGGTGCCTAAGCTGAGCGAGTTGATCACTTCTTCCCTTCCCTTGTCATGGTTTATTTCTGGAAGGAGAGGCTCAGGATGCTCGGGTGGAGTATTTGTGAAGAACAGTGCATGCCTCCTTCAGATATTCCCACCTGCCTGAGGCCGGTGATGGAGAAAGCATTCCTTGGCCTTCCACCTGCCGATGACCCTGGCACTGGACAGACTTCATCTGAACTCACAGAGAAACCGGGATCATGGTGGTTATTGGCAGGCTTAGTTCAGTGATAGTTTCCCAGTGAAGTGCTTTTCTCAGAGGAAATACTACAGCCTTCACGCTTCCCTCTTGAATCCAGTATGGCCACTGGCCCCGCACAGTGGATTTTAAACAGTTACGCTTGGGCTGGTGTTGCTGTGTTAGTTCACGTCTTCCCATCTGCTCTCCCTTGGAGGATTCCAGAGCCCCGTGCAGCTCCTTGCTCTTTGCTGTGGCTCTCCAGGCTGTTGCAGGGAGCATCCAGGCAGAGAGAAGCTCAGTACTTGCTGGGGGAGGCCTGTAGTGGGCAGCTCAAACAGCCACACACACACACACACACACACACACACACACACACACACACACACACACACACACGCACACAGATGCTAACATTGGCCTAGGGAGGTCTCAAGCTAGGCAGTTACTTTTTGGTTCAAGCATTAAGGATCCAGCTTATTCTATGTGGAGATGGAGTTGGGGGTCCTGGCCGCCCAGCTGTTACTGTTGTTGGTCGCTTGCTTCAGGAAACAACAAGGGTCAGTTGTTAGTGTCCACTTAGAAATGAGGCTCCGTCTTGGGTCCGGAAAGCAGCCCTTCCACTTCCGGACGACCTGCTGTGTCTTTGGCAGCATTTAGCTCGGAGAAGGTTGGAATCGCCTAGTGCACGGTAGCTGTGTCGCCAGTCTGCCTTTCCTGTTCCGATGAGCCCCCTTCCCTCACGCTACAAAAGATCAACACAGTTTTCAAGATAATGCTAGAGAATACAGCTGGAGGAATTACTTTTTTTAAAATCAAAATTTCCGCCCTTGGCCTTATAACATTTTTGCGAGAGGCCGACTTGAATTATCTTTCTTCTATTTGACTAAAATAGAATTCGATTTTTCCGTAGGGTATTTAACATTTTGGGTCATCATCATGCCAGAGATGAATTAACAAATCTTCTCTCAGTGAACCATCAAGACAGATCCCCTCTGGGGTAGAAAGGTATTTAAACACACTGGTGACCTCCTGGGAAGCCCACAGGATGCGACAGGATCCTTTTGAAACTCTTTTAAGTCACAGCCCAAAAACGCTTGCCCAAGCTGTGACCTTGAGGCCAGACAGGAGGGGCATGTCAGCTGCATGCCACTGCCAGCCGCCTGGCCCGCTTGTGCTGTGGAGTGGTGGGCTCAGGCTCCCTGCAGTGAGAGGATGTTTCAAGCCCTAGGCCAAGGACTCTTACTGTGAGCTGGCTGTGTGGGTCTCTGAAAGAAAAACATTCTAACCAGTACCTGTGCTCCGGCCTTGCTGTGCTGTGCTGTGCTGTGCTGTGCTGTGCTGTGCTGGGGCCTCCCAGCCCCCTGTCTCTGTGTGTAGGGGGCCCTACTGTTTTACAGGTATGAGGGGCCCATCAGGCAACTTGCTCAGAGCTCATTGAAGAGTGTGGGTGGAAAAGGATGGGGCACTTGACTTTGGGTAGAAATCTTTCAACAACAGGTAGTTCTAAAAAAAAGAAAGTAAATGAGAAACACTTTTGCAGGCATTTGGGATAGAAGATCTCCACAGCTGTATTACTACCTAGTTCTCTTCTGCAATCCCCCACCACTCCACCAATAATAATAATCATCATCATCCCTGATTGGTTTCAGACAAATTGATGTTTTGAAGCATGGTTACTTAGAACAAGCAAGTTGACCTGCTGTGTACTTCTTTGTATTTGCTTTTTAGATTTCTTGTGTTTTCCTCGTCCAAGGGATGTCCCGGATCCTAATGCTCTGCTGAGATTTGAGTTGGGTTTAACTTGGAGAATTCTCACCACTTGGTAACCTCAGACGTGTGAGCAGCTGGAATATTTCGTCTTTCTGAGGAGTCCTGCGTATTGCCAGTCACCTCTTGTTCACTGTGTGCCAAAGGTGAGTCTGCAGTTTTGTGCTTTGAACACGCAGTGAGCTGGTGGGGCTTCAAGTGCTGAGCTGGCAGGATGTGCTGTGGATTCCTCAAATGGCAGCGCTGTAGCTGTGATTCACAGTAAGCTTAGGCTTTCAAGGGCTGGCTAAAACAGCAGGTTCTCTCCATTCCAGCTTTGTTGTGGGATGGTTTTGATGGTATCTCCAGGCCTCAAGATACTGAGCATCCCCTACCTGAAGGGCCGTGGCTGTGCCTCACCTAGCCAGCCCTGTGTGTGATGAGTTGGTACCTCCTGTGTACTGCCTGCTAACATCCTGATGCTAATGCAGCAGGGTGACGCAGGACCCAGGGTTCCTGCGCTGATAGATTTTAAATAGAAACATCTACTCCTATGTGGTGTAATTGTTGCTGAGGTGTACCATTGACTTGGAATCCCAATTCCCGAGGGGCTGTTGGGCATGTCGAGTCGGGTGCTGCCTGGCTCTGGGGGAGCAATCGGAAGCTCTTTATCAGAAGTGAGTTTCACCTCCATACGAACATCTCAGCGTTGCAACAGCACGCCACACCAGCTTCCCCTGAAAAAGCTGCTGTGGCTTCCACCATCTACAAATTTCCCTGAAAAGCTGCACTATCTACAAATGAATGAATCAGAAGTTTTACACAGTAGACTTTCTTGGTATTATGGTTTCTAAAAATTTAATTGGAATTTCATTTTCCTTGGTGTGAAACTGTCGTAGTTGGGCTGCTCAACAAGGCAGATGCCTTCAGGGAAATGGGTCGCCTGGTGAGTTCAGTTAGTGTGTGCTCAGTGAGCTGTGTCTGTGTCATCCCTGTTGGGCAGGCCACTGTGGGGCAGATGATCTGCCGTTCACTAAGACATGCTTATGTGACTCATGACTTATGTGACTTTCGCTGGGTGTGTTCTTTCTCCTTGACCCCTTTATTTTTAATCTTCTAGGACCTTCTTAATTTTGATTCTGTCCCTTTTGATATATAGTATTTAGAGTACCATAGATTAATATGTGTATTTTGCAAGGGGAGGATTAAGTGTCTTGGTGTCTTGGGTTCTCCTGTTTGATTTCTTTTGGAGACAGTAGCATATTTCTTTATATATTGTTGGTTAAGACCTGCGGGGTTAGCTGTTGTTTGGACTCGAGAGCTTGGAGTGCGTGGGGCATGACCCAGTTCCTTGCCCTCGTCCATCCTCTCTGTGTGCTGTGTTGTCCTGAACCTGTCTGCCCCAGGCTCACGAGCTCTTAGGTTCACATCCCTTCGTGCAGGTGCAAGGCGTGCCCAGATATCCCTGCTAGAGCCTCAGCTAGGTGATCATCACTGAGGTCTCTCCATTCTGATCCTGGGAGATTTCTGAGAAGTGAGAAAACTCTTTTGAAATCCATGGTCACTCAGTTCTTTGTTCCTTGTCACTGAAGCAGGACCTCTAAGCTGAGTCATTTGAAGAGGCATCATATGTCAATCCGTTTGTCAACAGATATTTCAGGGGAAGATAAGCCAGAAACTACCAACTCTCAGATCTCATCATCAGGGTTTTCAAACAGTTCATCAGTAACGGAATCTGATTCTGTTTCTGTAGAAAGTTCATGATCACTAGTGGCGTCAACAGACTTGAAGTTTTCGGGCATCCTCTAGAAGTAGGGAGTCTGGAGGAAGAAATATGAGCTTATCCGTGGCAGCAGGGTCTGCATGAACACCCAGCAACGGTGTTGTACGGGGGGAAGACTGAGTGCCGAGAGCTTCACATCGATTATCATGAAAACAAGTATGTTACAGAAGGCTGTCTGTACCCACGTGATTTCTTTAATTTTGAAGGGGAGCAGGAGGAGACCGAGATCTTTCACTTGTTGGTTCACTGCCCAAAATGCCTGTGGCATCCCGGACAGGGCCAGCCCAAAGCCAAGGGCCTGGAAACTCAATTCAGGTCTCCCACGTGGATGACAGTCGTTCAGGCATTTGAGCATCACCTGCCGTTCCTAGTGTGGTCATTAGCAGGATGATGGAGTCAGAAACAGAGCCAGGACCCCAATCCAGGCACTGCAGTGTAGAATCGAGGTGTCGCAAGAAGTATCCTAACTGCTGTACCCGTTATCCATGCCAGTGCAATTCTACTGATTATTTTTGCTTCCTAAGTTCATGAAATCCAGATAGCAACCCTAGTTTACTTGTTCAGGTTGACTTCTTTGGTTTAGAAAAATATTCCTTAGGGAGAGGCTTAAGATGTCACCATTAGGTGGTAAATATTGATCGTGAGCACCAACTGTATTATTCTAGACAATTTTCTTGCAGTGGCTGCTTTAGCAGCTATGATAGATCAAATGTAGTTATGGACACCATTTTTCATGCTGTTGGGGAACTGACTGGCCTCTGACACCTCGGCCACCTTGGTGACTACTGGAGTTGGGGTTCCATAGCCAGTACCTTCTGATGCAAGGAGGCACCAACCCTTTGGGCAGGGATCCGAGAAAGCTAGGGCATGTTATATTTAGAACAAATGGCAAAGGACAGGTAAGGTGGAATTGCCTGGTAAAGGGTCCTTTGAGATTCCAGATCATCTAGGTTAATAATGGATTGGTGACCAGTATGTGCTGTTTGATTGGCTGCTGTGGAGGTGCCAGTAGGAAAAGCTGTAGCTGGCTCATCCCCACCATTGAGTGAGTGAGAAGGAAGTGGACGCAGTGCTGGGCTGATAGCATAGTTGGGGGAACAACAGCCTTGGATGCCCAGTGTGGGCACTGTGTGATGATCTGGACCAGCACAGGAAGGGTGAGGGTACTCAAGCCAAGTGGCAGAGGGGCCTGCCTAGTCTCTCTGGAGAGACAACTCCCTGTTGGGCAGGTGGTGTGCTCTCCTGGCTTTGGGATGTGGAAGCTGTGGGAAGAGCTTGGTGGCAGGCTTTTTTTCTCTTAGGTAAATTACTGCCAGCAGGCCCCAAGGCCACCAAAGGGTGAGGCAATAGTGTTCTTCAGCCGCAAGACCACTGGGGACAAAGTGGTGAGGGATGTCTGTTTATTGTGAACAAAATACAAGCTTATATAGAATAGGGACGGGGAGGGCAGGAGGGTGTCTCCCAGCCGCCCCTCTCCACCAACCAGCAATGACATTGTAATTGGCTAGAAGGCACGTCTGTTTTCCTAGACCCTCTGTTCATGTCACAGGTCATGTTCTGCATGCAGGGCTGGGTGCTGTGCCTCGGATCCTGGGCAGGTGAGCTGTAACACCCACCAGGTGGCAGGCAGAGATCCAGGGCTGATCTCACAGTTCCCTTTAGCTGCAAAGCTGTTCGCTGAACACGTGGATGATCTGCAGTTAATGCCCTTCGCATGTGTGCTTCGAGATGGACTGGGATTCTTGCAGTTGGAAGCTGATGACGCCTTACTACTGGCAGAGCATGTGACAAGTGCTGTCTGCTGGAATGGCCGTTCTCCCATAGACGCAGTGTGGCTCTCAGTGCGAGCTATCCAACAATGTTCCTTTGAGCGGTGTAACCTTTGTCTTATTCCAGAGCAGTTTTTCCCAGTGTACTTACAGGTATATTGAAGTCTGTTTGGTATTAGTCTAGCAAAATGCCTCAGGCTGAGTAGCAAGAAAAAGAGGCTAAGGTGTGTTTAGTTCGTGGTTCAGTCCACAGGTGATGGCGCTGTGGCTGAGTCTCAAGGTGGCATGTGGCTAGCCATGGCAGAGGCAGGTGGCACGCATGTGTCTTGTGGTCTCTTTCTCCTTATAAAGCTGCTGGGATCCAGTCACAGAGTTCTACCCTTCTGCCTGACCAAGGCCTGTCACTCCTAGAAGGCGCCACCACTAAAGCCATCAGCTGAGTTCCCATCCACTTGGTACCTCACAGTGCAGGGTTGATTCCAGCTCAGGATCATCCCAGGATGTGTTCACGTGGCATCCAGACCATAGCAGGCGACTTAGGAAAGCTCTTGACATTTGCCTCTTGCTTTCTTCATAAGTTTATCTTCTTGGAGTTTTGGAGCTGTCAACCTAGGATTTTGTCTTCACAGAATTAGTTTTTTTTTTTTTTTAAACATAAAGTCCAGTGAATGACTATTTCAATTTCTTACTCTTGTTTGTTTTGCTTTTTTGGTTTTGAGTAATGTTCCCAAATGTGCTCAGGAGCTGGGGCTGGACAAAAGCTGGCTCTCCCATGTAGGTGCCAGGAATGCAGCTACTGAGCCATTGCATGATGCTTCCCAAGGTGGGCATTAACAGAGAGCTGGACTCAGAAGCAGGGTTGGGACTTCAACCCAGGGACTCCAGGATGGGATATGGGCATTCCAGCTGACATCTTAACCACTGAATGCGCAGCCCAAACTTTTTAGGGCTGGAGTTACTGTTGTTGGAGGACCAGAGATCTGTTCTTACCTGGAAGGCACTTGGCTGATTTTCTACCAACATAAAGGTGACCATCCCAGCCCCTTTCCTGTCACGGACATGGGTCCCTAGGAGCGGCCAAGGGAGGCTCCTCTGCTGTTAGACTAATGCTTTCTTCCCTGCTGGATACTGGGTGTCAGGGGGGGCCGCAGCATTTGCAGTGGGTTGACCTGTGATGATTGTCTGGACAGTCCTAGCAAGTAGGTGCTGGCTGCATTTCTAGACAGACGGCTAGATAGGGGCGTCAGTGCCAGCACAGTCACTCTGACAGTACAGTCACGGTGCAGCCTTAATGCACAAGCCCTTGGTGGCAGCCTGGTGGGCCTGCCAGCCTTCTGGGCACTGTCCCTGGTCTGCCACACAGAGGTAGGACCTCTGTTTTTGGTAGACAGAGGAGCCTAAGGCTGTGGAATTGAATATACACGAGAGCATTTTCACCCAGATCTGCTGCCTGCAAGTGCACGTTCCTTCTGCCCCCTACACTGCTGTCTGACATGCCATGGTGAGACATACTGACAACTCCTTACTCAGCCGGGACTCGGGGATGAAGTTAGTCCTTGAAGGAAGCAGAGCAGGCCAGGAGCTCATGTCTTCCTAATGCAAAGGTTTTCCTTAT